AAAATATTCTGTCAGTCATATGACATACCACCCAATGATCATTAAGACATTTCTTGATTCAACAGATGATAACATGTGAATATGTGCATGTGAGAACTTATGAATCAAAGTATTTCAAATGTTTTGTACATAATCTTCAAACCCCAGGCCTTAAAGGAGGAGGGAAATTTCAAATATAGGGCACAAGAGAATCCTTCAGAAAGTATATAGAACTGTCAACACCTGGGTTTGAGGTTCAGCAGTGAGCTTCCAGGAAAAGTAATTCAAAACAGGAAGTAAATCTATAATTGATCACAGGTTAAGAAATCTGGTTTCCCTTAGTGGCTTCATCCAATCACATGCCTTTAATTTTGCTTGTGTAATGACTCTTACCTCTGTGAGGTGAGCTTTGCTCTTTCCTCCTCTATGTGGTTTCCTCCTTATAGATGTCAAGAGTTAAACAGACAGTGTTCACAATGTGCGTAATTAATAAAATATAGGGCTCAGTTCTCCATCTGTCCTGCCCATTTGTTTCAGCAATCCATAGCCGGTGCTGAACCTTGGGGCAATCTTGTTCTGCTTGACCTCATCAGATCCCATCCCCAGCTGCTGATACATCTATAAATCATGCCTCCCTTTGTGAGAAGCTTCTCGCTCCTCCCTTGGAGCTTCTCTGCTTCCTTGACATCCAGAGGTTTGAGCTTTTCCCTTCAGATCTCTTTCACATATACAGAATCTTTTTGCCAAATGGTGGTCCTGTCAGATCTCGCTCCGTTCAGACGTAAAGCATTCCTGCTCAGAAGCTACAGGATAATACTCAGATCACTGGAAACAGCATTCCAATTCATCTTCATTTCTTCACTCGCATAACCCATTTCAGTTTAGCTTTCTTTGTCCACAGACAAGTAGCACATCTTCTCTAGCCCACTACACAATGTTCTGTCCTCCCCAAATGCCACCTCCTCAAAGTTGCCTTTGATTTTCAAAAAATATGTAGTTCTTAACCATTATAGGATTATTTAAAGTATTTTCTGTAAGGTGAAATATACAACTTACAATTGTATGAAAATCTTAAAATAAGGTGTTTTTTTGGTTTTGATTTTTTTTTAAGTTTATCTTCTCAATTCCACAAAACACAACTACATCAGTTCTGTTAGTCCCCTTTCAAAGTAGTGCAGAGCTGGGTAAGTAGCCCAGGGACAGAGCACGCACCTAGGATGTGCAATGATCCTTAACAATGCAAAAAATAAAATGGCCAACTACCTAAAAGCTACGAGGAACATAACAACTGACTCCATTGACATTAGGAGAGCTGTGGAAGAAAGAGGGGATTCTCATTTTACTGTTGGTGCTGTTTAAGGACACACCGTTTCAAACCAGAAATAGCTTCTCCTTTGAAGTCACTTCTGTACGTCTGGCAGAGGGCCATATTTCTTTGAACTTTTCTGTGGTAACTCAAAGGTTTGGAGAATCCCAGGCCCACTTTAGTGATTGCACCTTTAGTATCCTAAATCTGAGGTGATGTATCTGGCATGAATATTTGTGAGCCTTTGTCTTCAATGTTTCCTGAAAAGCAATCTGCCTCTCTATTAAGGAGAAGGAACAGAAGATAGTTTTAAATGGCAACATCATTGTTTCTGCATAAAAAGAAAACAATGCACCTGTAACAATAAAGGAGGCAATGCCCCTTCTGCTTTCCTCTCCTTGACTGACTTTCTTAGAAATAAGTGGTGGGGTGCAGCCCCTGAGCTGCTTCGTACTGGACATTTTTAGACTCCATCACAATGCAATGGGAATAAGCTTCGGCAGATGAGAATATTTCCAAGGCTCAAAAGTCTGTCTTGCTCAACAGCTGCTTATCTTGTGTCCCAAGAAATTTCATCCCAAAAGAAATGAGTCTGCGAGTTCACTAAGGTGCATGTTCTTAATTCTTCATATTAAACTAGAAACTAGTTGTATCAACACATGTGGACTCCATGGAAGTCTACTCGTGGAATATCTTGGGGTGGGTCAGAGCAGGTTCCCTAAGAAGTGATGTGGGGTGATGAGAATGGTGTGGAAAAGTGGTTCTCAGAATGTGTGACAGAGACCCCTTGGATCATCCTGGGTTCTCAGCAGCCTGCATGAGGACCTGCGAGTGTCTCTAGCTTCCAGTTCAGTTCATCTTTGTGGAAAGCTGAGGTGTGTGTGTGTGTGTGTGTGTGTGTGTGTGTGTGTGTGCGTGTGCGTGTGTGTGTGTGTGTGTGTGTGTGTACATTCAAACGAAAATGACACAGCAACAGATTAAAATGAAAATCACCAGATGCATGTGATTTCTGTGAAGCTAGACATTGAAAGACGTGAGATGTCGTAAACAGTAAGCAGTAATCTACCAATGCCTAGTATTGTCATTCTTTCATTAAAAGTAGTCACATATTAGTTAATATGTAGTATTAGTTAATTAGCATATTAGTCAATATGCTAACAGGTCATAGATTGATTGTTACTTTTATTGGACTGGTAAAATATTTCAAAATTACTGTTTTAATTTCCAAGAGTTATATTTACAGACATGAGTCACATATACAAAACCTCAAATTTCTTCAAACTATAAACATGTGAAAGAGTCCCAAACTAAAGATTTTAAGAGCTGTTAAATTCTGATTTGACTTGTGTGAAGGTTGTGTGGACATAACACTGACCTGGGTGTGAACTTAAGATTCATGTGCCTCGCTACATGTACATAGTCCAAAACTCTTTAAAATACACATAGGAAAATAGGTATATTTATGATGCAACATAAATGGGATGAATTAGAATATCATTCATTATACAGAAATAAATGCACATTTTCTGAAGATTATTAGGAATTATGCCAAAAATAACAAAACTTCCTTGAAGCCTGATGCTAAGGGGGCACCAGCTAAGAGGTGTAGTTATCTAAGAGTTTGGAGCACAAACCTAAATCTTTGTTTCTTTACGGAGAGGTTAGTCCACACCTTTTTTTTAGGAAGAGAAGGAATTTCTTAGTTAAGAGATGCCGGGGTGGTGGGGGTGTAGGGAGAAAGTGGGGAGGGTCTAAAACGGAGCATTTTCTCTTTATTCTCCTTGTTGCTGGTTAGTTTATTGCCACTTTGACACAACCTAGAGTCACTTGGTGGAGGGAAAAATCTCTTTTGAGGAATTACCTAAATCAGCTTGGCCTGTGGGCATGTGTCTATGGGGCATTGTCTTGATTGCTAATTGCCCCACAATTCCTGGGCAAGTAGGTGCTTCTGGGCTGTTCAAGAAAATAAGCAAGCAAGCTGGCAAGCAGTATTCCTCCCTAGTTCCTGCTTCAGTTCTTTCCTTGACTTCCCTCAATGGTGGACTGTGACCTGGAGTTGTCAGTTCAAATAAATCTTTTCTCTGGAAGTTGTTTTGGGCCATGGAATTTGCTACAGAAAGAATGCTTTTGTTCCAGTGTTTCCCATGCTTACGTCTCAAAGTTAGCAATGGAAAATGATTTGAACCAATCCAAGAAGAACTAAGAGAGATCGAAAAGGAATCAAAACATGACATTCAGGAACAAGCAGACATAACTACTTGATAAAGGTGACAGATGTCAGCTAAATAAAAACTGAGGAGTAAAGAGATTGGACATAAGCAGTCCTAAGGGGGCTGTGCAGTAACGGAAACAGTAGAGAGGAAAGGGGAAAGCCTGTACGCTGGGACAGATGTAATTATTCAGACATCAGTGTGACAAAGAATACCACTTCCATATTGTAATAACTGTCCCTGGGTGTGTGTGTGTGTGTGTGTGTGTGTGTGTGTGTGTGTGTGAGAGAGAGAGAGAGAGAGAGAGAGAGAGGGCATTACCCTGGTGGCTACTGGTATATATACATCTTCAGTGGGCATATCTAATTAATACCTGTATAGCTTTATGTCTTCCATTTTTTTCTTCTTTTTTTAAATTTGGAAATATCTTTTCTGAGCCTTTGCCTTTTTAAAATTGGTTGACTGTCATTTTATGGGCGAGTTGTACATGTTCTTTATACATTTCAGGTTGAGTCCCTTCGTAGATGCGTGACTTAAAAACATGATTTCCTCATTCTGTGCCTTGTCTACTTCCTTTTCATTTTCTTAATGTCGTGTCTTTTAAATGACAAAAGTTATGCCAAGCATGGCAGCTCATGCCTTTAATCCCAGAACTTGGGAAGCAGAGTCAAGTAGATCTTTGCCAATTTGAGGTCAGTCTGGTCTACATAGTGAATTCCAAGCCAGCCAAGGCTACATAGACCTAATTGCAAAAATAAAAGAAAAAAAATATTGTGAGTTTTATTAATGGCATTTAATTTGGGTTTTTTTGCTGATTTTTTGTGCTTCTGGAGTTGGTCATATCTAAGCAATCATTGCTTAGTTAAACATTACTAAATTGACTATTTTCTTCTAAGAGCTTTTTTTTGTTTATTAGTTTGTCTACATGGGGTTTGGGTGGGTAGGCATGTGCTCTGTGGCACACATGTGTAGGTCACAAGAAACCTTTCTGAGTCCATTATCTCCTTCCACCATGTAGGTATCAGGGATGAAACTTAGGTTGTGAGGCTTAGAGGCAAGTGCTTTTCCATGCTTGGCCATCTTGCCAGTCCCAGTGATCTGTTCTTAATTCTAATTGTATGTAATAAGAGAATTCAGTTCCATTGGTTAGCATAGGTATAGATAGCTGTCCCACCATCAATCTTAAAAAGACTATGTTTCTCTATTGAATCATTCTAACACTGTTGTAAGATGTCAGTGTACTGTAAAGCGAGAACCTATGATTACTGTAAAGCTCCCATATGTGTCCTGCACACTGCTCAGGATACCGATGACCTTCAACCAGCCAAATCTACAGACTGTTATATAGCAATTCTCCCCAAGATAAAGCATTTTTTGTTTGATGTATGTCTGTGTGACTATTAACATTTATTGAAAACTAACTTCATATATCTAGTCTTTATAATACATGGTATCATTTCACAATCTGTTACAAGCGAATTTGAAATCTCCAAAACTCTGAGAAAAAAATTATGGAAAGCTTCATGAATGGCTATGTCATCTTTACACAGGATTCAGGCTAATCTTTCCTGTATCAGTCCAGTCTCAATATATTTTCTGCCAAAGAAACACAAGACACAGGAGGTTAAAAGGAATATAAAACATTTTGTCTTAATTATTTTAAAGATGCATTAATTGTACTTTTTTTTCTATTGTTATGATAAAACACCATGACCAAGGAAACAGAAAAACAATGCATTTAAATGTGCATACAATCCAGAGGGTTAGTGGAGAAAATAAATGGTGACAGGTGGTTGGAACAGCAATTGAGAACTCACATCTTGATCCATAAGAAGGAGACAGAAAATCACACTGGGAACTTTGTGAATCATTTGAAACATTGAAACTTGTTTCCAGTGAAGCATTTCCTCCAACTAGGCCATACCCAATCCTTCCCAAACAGTTCCATCAACTGTGGACCAAGTATTCAAACATCTGAGCCTATAGGAGCCATTGTTATTCTCATTCAAGCTACCTTCCATTCTGTCCTGAAAGGGAGCTCCTTGTACTGCTTAATTTTCTGTTGCTTTGACACTAGCCTGGATCATCTGGAAAGAAAGAATGTCAATTGAGAAAAAAGCTCCACTAGATTGGCTTGTAGGCAAGTCTACGAATATATTTTCTTAACTAAAAGTTAAAATAGAAGGGCTTATCTCCCTGTGGACAGTGCCACACCTGGGTAGGTTGTTTGGGGGTTTGATAAGAAAGCAGGCTGAGCACGACATGGATAGCAAGCCAGTAAGCAGCATTCCTCCATGGTTCATACTTCAGTTTCTTCTTACAGGTTCCTGCTTGAATCCCTGCCCTGACTTTCTCTCATGATGTACTACAACTTTAAGGTGATAGAAGCCCTTTCTTCTCCAAGTTTCTCTTGGTTACATCCAGAGAAACTTAACCATAACACTTCTTAAGACAAAAGATACCAGATATCATAGGAGGAGGTAAACCATTCCAACTTACAGAAAAGCTTTTTAATAATCCATAGCTTCAGGAAGTCCATGAAACTGACCAGATTCACTAGATCTTTCCAACTCCAGAATATATAACTATCAATGATGCTGAGAGACAAGTTGAGACCAACTGAGCTGCCTACCAGAAGGAGGGAACAATGAGCTGACTAGAAGAAACAGAGACAAACTAAAGTTGTTTGGAAGAGTCTCAGATCCACTGAGCTACCTGGAAAGGACACTCTACAATTTGCCTTCAGGCTGTACAGTTTCCAGTTTTCAAGAGCCAGCACACATCCTGGAGTGACTTTGGTGACACAGTTGTCTGAATTATTTATGCTTTTATAAGTACCTTCTCACCCACATTCCTGTAAGAACCTCAGTAAAATTCATTAGCTTATCATGTTGGATTTGGGTAGTATCCTTACTTTGTTCTGGCATTGGTTCTCTAAGGTGAGTTGATGGGAATAATGTCACAAAATTCATTCTTTTCTAAACCTCTCATTCGTGTCTAACACACCCGGCCATTGCTTTTTAGATTTACATTATAAGAAAACATATTTCTATATTTCAGCCATGCAGGTACTGCTTTTCCAAGGACACTTCCTTTTATTAGGAAAGGTAGACTTCAAATCCATAATCCAGAAAACCCCTGTTCTGATACCTAATTTGGTCCTTCACAGAATGTGATGCAGAATGTACCAACAAACAGATCACATCTTTTAGAAATTATAATTTATAAAACTTTTATCTTTTATTATTTTGTATAGCAACTTTCATCATCCATATGAATAAGTTCATATTGTATTTGTCTTCCACTGCTGTATAATGAAGGACCACAGACTTATTGCAAAACTATATACTAGCTTGCAATTCTGTAGTTTAGAGTGTAGGCATCATAACATGAATCATTCTCGACTCAGACTCTTACAAGAATATTATGAATCATCTGGACTATGAGATCCCAACACTCATAATCTTAAACCTCAATAATTGGTAAGAATTCAGTTATTGCCCTTGCAGAACTCCAGCTTACACTTCTCTGCTGGCTACTGGTCAGGGGTCATTGTTAGTATCTAAGCTTGCTTTGGTTCTGTGTTACATGACTTTCGTTTGTTTGGGGTTTTTTTGTTTTTTAGTTTTTTTGAGACAGAGTTTCTCTGTAACTTTGGAGCCCATCCTGAAACTTACTCTGTCGATAAGGCTGGCCTTTTAAAGGCACTATACGTCACCTTTGTGTTCCTGCATCTTGTTTCTTCAAGGCTAGAACCTGAATTCTCTTTTCCCTCACTTCCTTTGATCAGTCCACTTTAAGGTCTCATTTAATTAGGTTTGGATCACTCAAGATAACCTCCTTTTTGATTAATTCAAAGTTAAACTATCTTGGGGCTAAAATCATATCTAAAATTCCTCCAGTTTTGTCAGGTAACATCAGCTATTCAAAGACATAAACTTATTCACTCTCTGGGTACACTTACTATCTTATGCAGACTATATGTACTAGATTATATACAAGGGGCCTTATTCATAATTTTTTGATTATGCACACACATTCCTAGCTGAGATACTAAGTTTTATAGATAAATCTAACGTGTTTATAGCATAGTCATTTAATTACCATTTTATAGACAAATCAAAAACACTGTCATCACCCTATAGAGGTGTAATCTAAGGTCACACAATAGCATAGTAGAGATGAAAGGATAGACCACATTCATTCTCTAGTCTCCAAATATATACAGGAACACAATATTGTGTCAGAGACTATTCTACCTTATACCTAAGGCACATAATTATTTTTATTTGCTTATCAATATATTTGCCATTCATAATCTATATAGGAAAGCTACTGATTTTTGGATGTTAATTTTGTATCCTGCTACTGTGCTGAAAGTGTCCATCAGCTGTGGGGGTTTCATTGTAGACTCTTTAGGGTTGTTTATATTTATAATCATCTTATCTGCAAGTAAAGAATACATTGACCTCTTCCTCTCCTATTTGTATCCTTTTTTGATCTTCAGCTGTCTTATTTCTCTAGCTAAGACTTCTAGTATGATACTAAATCTGTATGAAGAGAGTAGACAACCTTCTTTTGCTTGCTCCCGATTTTAGTGGCAATACTTTGAACTTGTCTCCAAGCAGATGGATGTTTTCTGTGGGCTTATTGTAAATTGACTCTCTTATTTTGAGATATATTCCTTGTAGCCCTAGTGTTGTATTTTTGTCAAATGCCTTTTCTGCACCTAATGAGATGATCAGGTAGTTAACTGTTTCTGTCATATGCTGCTTGACACAAGGAATATTATCTCCCTTCTCAGGCCTTCGATGGGGTTGAAGATTAGATAGTAGTAGTTACCTTCCTCTTAGGATTTAACCAAGCCTATTTCCAATGCAAGATTTAGAATCTTTGGAATAGACTGTCGATTAAAACATTTATTGTGTGTTCCTTGCTTAATATTGTTTATGTTGTTTGTAATTTTATACTTGATATCTGTTTCTAGTGTATATAGTTTTGTGCTAGGTTTGGATTACTCTTGTTTAGACAAACAGGGAGGTTATGGGAAACTTTTGTTAACCAACTATCTTCAAGAGGTGGGACCAAGTTAGGGTGTGGCTTACTAGGACCCAGAGAAAAACAGGCACATGGTCCAGGTGCCTTATCTCTGTGGTTCCCCCATAATACAGTTGAGCTTGGACTTCTTGTTCCTGTTTTGTGAGTTTTTCCCTTATAATAAATAAAAATATAATTGCCTTATCTTTTAGCTAGCCTGGTTATTTCCTGAAATGAACTAATTTCTACAGTGGTGGTTGATCTTGGTTGTCATCTTGACACCATCTAGAACCAACTAAGAACTGAGCAGTTTGACAACCCTATGAGAATTTTCTTGATTGGATCATTTGATGTGGGAAGACCCTCCCCAAATCTGAATCATTTGAGGTTAGAAGATCTATTATAAATCTGACCTACACCTTCTGATGGCAGCCCACATAAAAAGACATAGAAGTTGAAAGCTTTTCTTTTTTTGCCTGTTTGCTCTCATTCTTGCTGGAATGTTCATCTGTCTTGTTGCTGTGCTGTTCTTTTGCTAGTATTAGAACAGACCTTTTGGATTCCAATGTAAACTGAAGACTGGAGGCTTTTTAGGAATTCTTTACAGCTCCAGTACCAGATTGGAATTTCTCAGCCATTCAATTTTATGAACCAAACAATGGCCAGATTCTCAGCCTATTCACTGGAAGATGGGCATTGTTGAACTATTCAGATCCCAGCCTATAAGCCACTCTGTTAAATCAGATATACATACATATATTTCTATCATCTGTTCTGTTCCTTTAGAGGACCCTGACATCACAGAAGTCAGGAAGCTCTTTATGGGCAATGAGAGGATTTCAAAAGGAAGATGGAATGCTGGTGGTGTGAAGAGGGAAAAGTAATAATGGAACACGAAGGTTTAATTGCTGTGTTAATGGGACAGTAGGGTGAGGAAGGCATGTGTATAAGGACCTGAAGAGTGAAAGCTTTTGAAAATGTCATCTAATACTGAATAAACTTCCCAAAATATATGCATACACATTATACATATACATACACATCATATACAAAAGGAGTTTGGAAGGAGTTACCCTATTGTAAAGGGTCAATGTCTTTCCCAGACATCACAGGCAATCCAATAAAATTCCCAGTGCCTAGAATGGATGAGCTATTTTGGTATTGTTAGTCAATGGGTTCCCATAGATTCTTCTTAAATATTGCAGCCTGTTACCATTCCTCTTGGTTACCTTCAAGAACCTGATGGTAAGATTTTGTTGCTCAGGACAACACATACTTGAGTCATAGCACATGGAAGAGTAGAGGTATGCAAGTTCTGTCTACAATGGCTACCATTCATAGTGCCAGAAATTGTATACACACTTCCAAGAAGAGGGTTCAGTCATCTCACAGACTCCACTAATAACTAGCCTGGAAAGATATGCCCAATGGTGTCACAGTAGCACAAATGTTGCTAATCACTTTATGACTAGGTTCAAAGGCCACTTTACAAGATAGAACTCATTCCTTGTATGTTTAGTTGGACCTAAAACTTATGACTGGCTGGGTCTTGGGCCCTAGGGGAGAATCTG